GCGCGGGGACGCGCGCCTCCGCCCGCTTTGCAATCGCGTGGCCCACGAACAGCCTAAATGATATTTAGGATTTTACTTAAAAAGTCCCCTGGGGCGTCATTTAGCCTCTCTGCTCGAGCCTATATGCTTACAAGTCCTTAGGGGGCTCTAAGAAGTCAGGAGTGGGGCCGGTGCGATCCCCTTAGGCCGGGAAAACGCCTCCCCCCGCACGCGTCCCTAACAAAAGGAACCGGCGAGGTGGCCCGGGCGCGGCGGGGTAGGGGTGTGGAGGGTGGGGGACAGGGTGGCTGGCGAGCTGTCGGAGGGCCCCGGTCCGCGGTCCGCAAGCGCTGTGNGGTTGGGGGGGGGGCGTATTTCCCCACCACTCGCTACACCCCGCGTGCAAGTGCCTGGGAAGGCAATGGGAGTGGAGGGCATGGGGACTGGGAGGGGGTGGAAGAGCTTTGTTCCTGTAGGAAAAAGTAATAAGTCAATACATAAGAAAAAGGATGTTCCAGAAAAAAATAAAATAAAAAATCCCTGCTTTTCACACACACTGAACTGGATCAACTAATTAAATAAAAAAATCAATTTCAAACGGAATTTTGCCCAGATTCTATCCATCAAGAGACTTATATGTGCACCCTCTCACCAGTGTCCAGAGACTTTCTCCTGCAAAGGTAATATTCAAGTTTTAAGTTTCTGAAGGCAGAAGCTAACGTTTTCCCCAGAACACACTTGCTGGGAAAGAGTTCAGCAGTTTCCTGTTAGAGCGCAGCACAGAGGTCCACCTGGGGCTGGATGAAGGCACCTGCCTGTGATTCTCAGGGCCCAAGCAAGACACTGACCCGGCATTCTGAGGCTCAGGATGACCCCTGGGTCTCAGTCCCCATGCTCTCAAATGAAAATCATATTCCTAAAACTTCTTGTCATTAGAAACTTTGGAGATGAAAGAGTTAATGAAATCCTATAGAAAGTTAATGGCTACGAAGATGCTACCCATCCCCTTCTAGGGGGGAAAATAATGGGCTAAAATCAGGGTTTCTCAAAATGTGGTTCCAGGATCAGCAGCATTAGCATCACCTGGGAGACTGTTAGAAATGCAAATTCTAGGGCTCCACCCCAGGCCTACTGAACCACAACTTCTGCAGGTGTTTTAACATGCCCGCCAGGGAATTACCAAAACCCACAGTTTGAGAATCACTTGGGCAAATAATCCTGGCTTATGGGCACTGACTGTAATGAGGGGCTTCCCAGCTCTATGTGCCCTGATGAGAGTGCAAACCCTGCATTTTCCAAAGCAAGTCAGAATGCTGAGCTGCTTAGATTTCTATTGCAGGTTCTTCTGCATTTGGAACAAAATTCTCAAATTTTCAGAAGGCTGCTCAGGCAGTGCAAACCTAAGAATTCTGAAAGGAGCCATGGCCATGAGTCTCCCAGGAAGGGCAGGGCTCCCGCAGCTCTGCTGTGAGGCTGAGGAACAGCCAAGACTGAGGAAGGGTGAGGCCTGTATACTCCCTTGCTCAGTAAGGAAGCATCAGCCGTCATTAGATTTCCTGTCCCCAGGTCTGATATAAGGTAGAACTATGGAAAGCTATGATTGGAGAAAAGTCTCCTCTGGTTGGAAAAGGTTCTTCAAGCATGGAGAAAACAGAGGCAGCGATGGAAGAAAACAACTACACACTTACGGAGCACCTACTTATTATATGCAAAGTACTTGGCCAGGTGTGTTCACCTTCATACTTAAACTCATTTTACTGACTTAAAAACCCCCAAGCTTCTGAGAGGTTAAGCAACTTGTCTGATGTCCCACAGCTGGTGGTGGTGTCTTTGGGATTTGGACTTTTCCACTGACCATAACATGCATCTGGCCTAAATTGAGCAGACTGCCCAAGAGGACTCTGGAGTAAAAAGAAATGGTAAGGGGGTGGGGGTGGGGGGAGAGGAATGGGCATAGAATTAAAAGGAAGAAACACTATTGGGATCAAAGGGTGAAACTGAAAGAGCACCAAAATATGTCATTTTTTATATGTTGCCTGATACCCAAAATTAGGATGCCTCTGTGCTATGAACTTTGACATTTAGAGAAAGGGCACAAGATAGCCCATTCAACCATAAATGGAAGGAAGGAAGAAAATAAAATAAAACCTTAGAATTCCCTTTGAAGTTGATCAATTGTCAGGGCAGAAACTTGGTTTCAGGATGGTGGTTTCTTTTACAGAATTTTTTTGTCCAGACCAATTTTTCACCATATATTTGGAGAGTTGCTTACAATAAATTCATAGCAGAGCCCCAACAGGGCCTATCCCATATAAACCGCTCTGTTTCAGCAAATTATTGAGTTGGATAAAAAAGGTTGGATAAAAAAGTTTGTTTTATGATGTGCGGTGGTTGTGTCCCCAAGACGACTGAGTTTTGAGACAGTTTAGGAACTTAGGAAGCATATCACTGAAACGGCAGTATCTTTGGGCTCGATAGTAAACCTACTACATGGGCTCAGCAAGTTCTGTGCTCATCCTCTAAGAAGGAGCCACTTACATTGGGGAACACATCAGGCCTGGGTAGAAACTCAGCTCTATTCACCCCGGAGTGACCATAACAAATTGCTTGCTGTTATTACTGTCCTTGCTATAGGACTTTAAATATGCATCTCTGGAAAGTCAGAGTGAGGGAAGTGTTATGTTTCTGGTTCTAGCTGAGTTCCTAAGACAATCAGGACTAAGGCTTTACACTTGCTTTTCCTTCCAGGCTTCAATGACCAGAATGGAGTTTCTATCTCGACACTGGACTTCTTAAAAAATACGTGTTTTGCTGATTTCCCCCAATCACTGGAAAAATGTGAAAACTTTGCATAAAAGTATAAAGAAAGAAAAGGCAATATTCATTTTTAACACCCAAAGGCAACCATGTTACTATTCTGATGTGTTTTTGTGTTTACTCCCAGCCTCCCCCACCCCCATGCAATAATATATTTTCCATGACCATGGTATATACATGATTGTTTCATACTAACATAAGAAAGGTAGAAAGTTCCAAATTTTCAAATGCTTACAAAGTTATAATTTTCTGGTAGGTAATTCCTGCAAGGTCTGTAGTTTTTTCTGTTTTCTAACACTCATCACAGAGCTAGGTCCACAGTTGCAAAAGACTAGATATTTGCTGAATTGAGCTAACTAATCAGCTGTGGTGAATTCTAGCCTAAGCCAGTATCATGTATGACTGGGAAGGAGAAAAAAGATGGCCCTACAATAGACTGCTTCCCCGAGCTAAGGAATGGAGCCTATGCTGAAGAAGAAAGGGTTAAAATTGGCAGTCCAGTGCAAGATGTGAGAATGCCCTCAGCCACAGGAAGGTCAGGCTTTCAAGGACTTTCTTGGGGGTAAAAACAACAAAAATACCATTTGTCCTTATCAGTGCTTTGAACAAAGTTACTGTAGGTCCCTCCAGTGGCAACACAACTTGGAGAGGTATGCTTTTCCTCTGCCTTTCACGTAAATTATAGAGTCCTTTGGATCCCTTTGTTGTGGTTAATTCCACCACCAAAGCAACTCTAAATTGGTTAAAAGTTCATTAGTGTGCAACAATGGAGTTTGATTGAATAAATTATGGTACATCCATACCATGAATACTAGGCAGCCAATAAGAATCACTCCTTCTTAGACTATCTAATCACAGAGAAAAAAAAGCTTACAACATATAGTTAAGAAGAGAAAAACAGTTTCTAAATCGGTCATCACAGAATAATCGCGTTAGACAAGGATTATAAGCGATTTTTCTTTTAATACTCTTTCAATTTTTCTATTAGGAACTTACTATAAATAAATACTTAAAAAAACTTGTGCTCTAAACAATAAAACCTTTAAATTGCCGGAAGGAAGGAAGGAAGGAAGGAAGGAAGGAAGGAAGGAAGGAAGGAAGGAAGGAGGGAAAAGAGAGACAAAGGGCTTGTTTGTTTGTTTTCAAGGACTCCAAAATTCTGATGAGGGTTGAGGATCCCCTAGTTCTTGAGCAGCCAATAGCTGCTTTGCAGAGGAAGAGACACAAGTCACACCTTGGGCCAAGGAGACAGCAGAGCAGAGGGACCCAGTGGCGAAAGCACCTGACTGCTGGGGAGGGGACTGAAGGCTTCTCACAGGAAGTGATGTTTCAGAGAGGCTCAGAGGGACAAGAGGGGACCAGCTTCTAGAGCAGAGGGACCCAGTGGCGAAAGCACCTGACTGCTGGGGAGGGGACTGAAGGCTTCTCACAGGAAGTGATGTTTCAGAGAGGCTCAGAGGGACAAGAGGGGACCAGCTTCTAGAGCAGAGGGACAGAGTGATCAAAGACTTGAATACGTCATACCCTGAAATTCCATTTTAAGGACTCATCTCATGGAAATATTCACAGCTTTGTGCAAAGATGTATCCTGACTAGCTTGGATGACTTAGAGTAGCAAAAAATTATAAAACATGGCGAACATTTAGAGGATTCATTAACCACTTCTCCCCCCCCAAAATCCAAAACCAAACCACAGTAAAAACCCAAGCCTCATTAAGAACTCTTAGTCTAAACAGACATGGAATGGAGCCTATTGCATTCAAGAGGGGCCCTGGTTGTGTCTGGACTGGGACTGTTTCTACTTGACCCACCCGAGCCCACCTATGCCCTGGGGTGTCTGCATTAAGACCTCCTTCATGCAGTTCTCTGGAGGATTCAGGACCTGAGCCAAATGGGTTCGGCTACAGGTTCAGCAACTAGGCCCGCTTTTCACTGCTTCAGCCAAGAGCTCCCAAGTCCCAGAGACGCCTCTGAAGGGCACTGACCATCTTCCAAGAATTCTGTCCGCCTGGACAAGCTGCCCTTTGTGGCACCACCCAGTCCTCTGTGGTTTTTCCCTCCAGTCTAGGCTTGAAACCACAGAGCATGGCCAGAGCCAGCCCAACCCTTCGAGTTGAACTCGGAAAACAGTGCCAACAGTCACTTGTCTGCACAGGCTGTCTTCTCTGTGAGGCTGTAGGAAAACCCCAGCCCCAGGGGCTGTGAGACCTGCCCCACAGAGGTGGGGACAGCATCTGCCCGCACCCAAGTGGCCGCTGTCAGGACACGTGGACTGCAAGTGGTTTGTCAGCGGCTCCAAGAAGTAGGTTTTTACCCATCTGCTTGCTGCCTTTCTTTCCTTGACTGAAAAACTGGGAGGGGGAAGAAGGAGTCTCAGCTGGTTTCAGCCCAGCTGCTGAGAAGAGTTTCTCCTGAGCTACTGTTCCCCCAAATCGTGCCTTTCTCGTTTACTGCCTCCCCCGCTTCTGATGAAGTCATCACAGCAAAGATTACATAACGGATGCAAAGGCCTATCTTGTGTTATACTGGGAGCCAGGCCAATGTTTCCATTTATAGACAAGAGCCCACCACACTGCCAAGTGGAGCTCTCCGAGGCAACCACTACGAGACAGGACGAAGGGAAGGGAAGCCGGAGCCTGAGGGCGCTTTCTCCATGCTCTCCGTGGGCAGGGTGGCTGGGGGCCAGCGGCCCTGGCTGCCTGGAAGACCCCTTCTATGAAGCTGCCTACTCTTGGCCCCCTCCCCTCCCCTCCCC